TATATATATATATATATATATATATATATATATACCGAAGAAATGTAGTCTTAAGTGTGCTATATTTATGGGATAAAGTGCTCAATATCAGAGATAGAGCGTGTGTAAATGTAAAAGTGAACATAGAAGTCAACACTTAGAGGCGACAGTCTGTTTCATGCTATATACAATCGTCAGGCCACGTGTGCTGTTATTTTTTCTCGACTATTTATACATATACGGGTCAGTGGTGCATTGTGGGTAGTCTATTATGGCGGTTATTTTACCGGAAGTCATTTATTTATTTATTTAGGTTAAATTATTTTGCTTGCTTTTATTTAATTTTATTTTTTTGTTTCTTATTTTATTTATTTATTTACTTTTTTATTTTCTTATACACATTCACGCACGAATGTATGTAAATTTTGACACACAAACACACACACACACACACATATATATATATATATATATATATATATATATATATATATATATATATATACCATGTGTAACAGCAAAATCGTCCAAATCGTGCAACACCATGGGATGGAAGGCAGTGGAGACGAAAACTAGGCCAGCACGTTACACCAGCAAGAGGGATCATCATTTCAACTTTAAGCTAAATACATTCTTATTGTTCAAAGTAAAGTCCAATAGCGATAGAAAATAATCGAAGAATTCCAGTAAGATATCTTTAATCATTTTAAGATACAACGATTCAAAGCTTAATCTAACAATTGGATAAATTTGGTGTTATACGATTTAAACAATTTAGCTGTTATACCTGGTACACACACACACACACACACATATATATATATATATATATATATATATATATATATATATATATATATATATATATATATATCGTTTTATAGGTTCACCGGTTATACTGATTTTGGATAATCATACTAAATTCCAATTAAGAACTGCTTCAGACGTATACCAACTTAAATTTACCGCAAATATTTTAATGCGTGAAGATATATTTTCCGGAACTAATGATCGTCACCTCATTGCTATACAGACAAGTGACGCTGTCTGCAAAATGCATGTATATTACTACTTACTAACACTAACCTACATTGGCACAAGGCCATAATAATAGATTTCACGGATATGATCGATTTAAATATATATATAGGTCCATCAGTAAATCGGAAGCATTATGATAAAAAATAAACGGAAACATTTATTTTACACAGTGATCATTCTAGGTAACCAATGTTACTCGTGTTCAAAATATTTTTAAACAGTTAGTTTCAGTATAATTTAGAACACAAGAATATTTCTAGCTCAACTAAAATCTGTTTTAAATATAATCTATTTTTAAAAATATTCTAATTGTAATATTATCTGTAAGAATATATATCCAGAAGAAAACTTTAAAAAAATTAACCTTTACAAATAGATTCCATTTAGCAATATCGGTTTATACTAAAATGGGATTTTCGGTTTTTGCAGTGTTAGACTTGTGTAGTTATCGTGAGTATCTTAAAAGTGATGCATTCATTCTAAACAACATTATTTTGTATGATTATGCTGTGATAAAAATTTTGAACGAAGTTAATATAGTAAACTAATGTCGTAAAATAGCTATGGTAAAGTTTTAAGAAAAAAAAAAAAAATCGGACATACACTTGTACGGAAATCAGTCGCTGATCTTCCTTCCAATCATAAATAACGTTTTTCTGTTTCGTCACTTCCGGTGTATGTACATCTTAACGACCTTTCAATTTCCCTGTCTTTTTCTCTCTGGTACTCGGGTTCTTCTCTCTCATCTTTCACTTCTGTTTCTTTTTTCTGTTTAATGTGCTTCGTTGACACTCTCCTCTTTCTGATAGCATCGCGCTTTCCTTTCAGCATTTGGCTATTTTCTTTTAACGTTTCCTTCTTTTCCCATAGCGAGGGAAGATCGCGGCAGATATCGTCTTGTCACGTTTTCATTTCTCGTTTATCTGATCAAACCAATGCTTTTCAAGTGAAGGTGAAAGAAACGGCTGAAAGGAACAAAGGACACATATGTAACTTCCACACGAATATTGAGAAGATGTTTACTCACACATCATGTCCGCACGCATACACACACGAACACACAAAAGCACTTCCAGCCATACATGCACACACACCCACACATACCTAAATATATATATATACATATATATATATATATATATATATATATATATATATATATATATATTGCGTATATTTTGGCAGCATGTTTTATTAAAACATGTCCCATTTAATACATACACACAAAAGTACACCCACACATTTAATACACAAAAACATCTATAAATATATATATATATATATATATATATATATATATATATATATATATATATATATTTATATGTTTTCATTAAGACATTTTACAAGTTCTGTCTATTTATTTTCAATAAGATCCTCTCATATTCACAGACAAGCTTCTTAATATTCTTATTAATGGAAGAGAGAAAATTAATAAAATGTTGATATATATTCATTTATTCCGAGTACTTTCGACATT